GTTACTGTTCATAAAGCATTCTCTGGGGTTTGAGAAAAAGTTGCTTGCAAAAGCTAAATAAACAGATGCTTTGGAATGTTGATTAAAGACGGGAAACTAAACCAGGATTTGTTGTCGGATAATCAAATTTTATACTCACAACTGATGGAGGAGCAGAAATTATGTCAAAGGAAATGGATTTGTCTGGAAGGAAGGACTAAGTAAGTATTAAACATCTACCCCATTCCCTCAACCCCAGATGCACAATAGCATATGTCTCTAACTCACTGATCAGACTGAAGAAAAACCTGGAGTTGGGAGGCGCCATCTTGATCTTTACTAGATTTTATTTTTCCTAAGAGAAATTCACAAAAGAAACTAGGAAATTAGCCATTGTGCAACTAAGGCTTTTCTTTTTTTTCTTTTTTTCTTTTTTGTTATTTTTTCTGAGATGGAGCCGTGCTCTATCATCTAGGCTGGTATGTAGTGGTGCGATCTCGGCTCACTGCAACCTCTGCCTCTGGGTTCAAGCAATTCTGCCTCAGCTTCCTAAGTAGCTGGGATTATAGGTGCCCGCCACCACATGTTGCTAATTTTTTGTATTTTTAGTGGAGAGGGTACTTTCACCATGTTGGCCAGGCTGGTCTCGAACTCTTGACCTCGAGATCCACCCGCCTTGGCCTCCCAAAGTGCTAGGATTACAGACATGAGCCACCTTGCCCAGCCTAAGGCTTTTATTTTCATGCTAACCACTCATTAGAGATTTCCATTTATCTTAATTGAGATGACCTCTGTTTGATTCCTTGATAAGACCTTTATCTTAGGTACTATGCAACAATTTTCAAACAAGTCTAAAAATCCAACTAAACATTAGCAGTATGGGCACCAGCTCTGTCAAAAAAGCAACTCAAGATAGGAAACAAAAGAACAAAAAGAGGCAAGTACTGGCTCTCTCAACAAATACTTATTTTGAACTTCTATATGCCAAGCACTATGCTATGAACATGTAGATCCTGGTTCTAGTTTTCAGAAGCTTCCTTTAGTATTGAGTAACATTACCTAACAAGTGCTTTCATTCATAACTTATTGGAAGTTGTATATTTGATTAATAGAGAAAAGTAATACATTTTTATTCTGTGTTTCAATTTCTAATAGTCTTATCACCATAGATAAATTTATGTATCTCTTTTTAGCACAATTTTTAAAAATGTCCCATGACCATGCAATTTTTAAATAAAGATACTAGCAACATTACCTTTTTGTTATATTTGTTGCCTCTTCCCTTTCCCATTTTTTTCACATATCAGATCTAAAAGTATTTGTACTCTTACTTTGTGTTATCAAGGTTGATAGCATTTACATTTTGTTCTCTAATTGTGATGAATCGTTATAATTTTCCATAAATGTTGAAAGCATTTAAAAGCATTTACATTATTATGACTATGTAAATGTTTCCCTGCAGAACCAATGTAACACTCTAATTCCTTCTCTCTCTTCCTATTTCACTGAAAAATAGAATGTTTCCAGAACCAAGGTCAAAAGATTCTTTATTCTTACACTTCACCAAATTCTAATTTGTTTTTTATTTAGGACACAATATTCTTGTTTGCTTTCTGGAGTTTTTAATTGTCTGTTGCCTTGAGAGGAGAAAAATGTAATTGATTTTGTCTAGCTCTTAATCATTCTAACTACTCTTTGGAATCTGTTCCCTTCTTCCTGAAGGCATGCTCATTGGACAGTGATTTCTTGTTCTACGATTAGTCAATTCTTTTTTGGCCTGTCACACAGCAGTCATTCTAATTGATCTTTTCATTGGACTCTTGGTTTTTTCCTCCATTTTTTTTTTTTTTTTTTTTTTTTTTTTGAGATGGAGTTTTGCTTTGTCGCCCAGAATGGAGTGCAGTGGCACAATCTTGGCTCACTACACCTGCACTTCCCGGGTTCAAGCAATTCTCCTGCCTCAGCCTCCCAAGTGGCTGGGACTATAGGCACCCACCACCGCGCTCAGCTTTTCTTTTTTTTTTTTTTTTTTTTCGATTTTTAGTAGAGACGGGTTTCACCATATTCGCCAGGATGGTCTCAATCTCCTGACCTCCTGATCTGCCCACCTCGACCTCCCAAACTGCTGGGATTACAGGTGTGAGCCACTGCGTCTGGCAGTTTATCCGTTTCTTATATCCTATGTCTTCACTTTTCTAGTTCTTATCCTCTGTTTCGCTGGAGTACATCCTTAAATAACTACTTTGAGCTAAGGAGACAAACTTAGTGAGTTCTGACACATCTGAAAATGATGTGACTACTTATAATTGCTTATTAGTTGGGTTAGGTATAGAATTCTAGGATCAAATTCATTATCTCAGAATTTCAAAGGCTCTATTTTATCATTTTTCAGCATGTGTGACTGATGGTGAGGTGTTTGATGATGATCTACTTTTATTCTAACATAAATTACTTCTTTTTCCTCTTTGGCAACTTTTAAGATCTCTTTATCTTTAGCATTAGGAAATTTTAGAAATTATAGAATGGTATTTGTTTTTGTATATTCTTTCTCCAGGACTTGAAAAGCTCTTTTAAAGATTCATCTCACTTCAGTGCTGGAAAGTTTTGTTCATATTTCTTCATTTTGTTTTATTTAAAAATTTTTATTTACATATAATCTACTTAGAGAAAAATCCATGAGTCATAAGAGTATAATCTATTTTTTTCCACAAGCTGAAAATATCCCTGTAACAAGCAGTAAAGACAGGAAATGGGATAATTCCAGCACCTCAGAAACTTTTCTCCCATTTTGTTCTAATCACCCTGGCAAGGTAACCACTATCCTGACGTCTAACAGAAAGATTCAGTTATTCTGTTTTTTTTCTTTATTTCGTATAAATAAAATCAATGTTTGTTGTTGTTGTTGTTGTTATTGTTGTTTTTTACTAATTTTCTCCTGCTCACATTTTTCATCCTTTCTCTAGAACTTCTAGTTGTCAGGCATTGAAGCTTTGGTATTGATACTTTATTATCTGTTCCCTTGTATGTTTCCTGTCTTTTTTAGTGATATGTACTGGGATAGATCCTCAAGTTATCTTCCATTATTTTGTTTTTTGGCCATTTTGTTTATTAATTTCCCTGTGCTTGTTTTGCTCTCTGTTACTTTTTCACATCATCTGTGTTATTGACATAAATCTAGGTTGCTGTCACAATAGGCCCCAAAATATGGTGACTTAAATAATACCAAATTCTATTTCATTCTTGGGTAAGTGACAGGAGATGGATGGGGTGATTGTGCTTCCTGAAGCCATTCAGGAACTCAAGTTCCCTCCGTCTTCCACCATGTCATCCCTTAAGGTGTCACTCTCTTTTGCATGGCCAAAGCTGTGTCATAGCCACATCCACACAGAGAGGAAAAAAGAAGTTCTGAGACAATACTTGCATGCATTGCTTCCTTTCACATTAAATAGAGTAGAACTGTCACATGTTACAACTAACTGTGAAGGAATATGAAAAATAGTCTAGCTGCATGCCGTTAGGAAGAAGGGTAGAAGTGTATTTAGGGAGGAAAACTAGAGCTCTGTTACACCATCCTGTATTTGTATTATTGATAAAATATCTTCCCAACTTTCCTGGAAAATAAAGAGGGTATTCTTTATTTATCTTTATTTCTCTACTCTTTTCTCCTGTCTCTCTCTCTTCCTTCTCCCTCCTTTCTTCCTTTCTTTCTGTTTCTGTCTATTTTCTGAATATTCCCTATTTCCCCTGGCCTCATAATTTTTGGACTATATTATTCCATCACTTCAGACTGGGACTTTCCCTAAATGAATAATGAACCTTACTTGTCTATTTGCAGCGTTAACAATGAAGAAAGATGAATGTTGACTGGGAGAACTGTGTATACAGCTAGAAAATTGGCAGGAAGGCTCTTCCTCAGTGTGAGTGCACAAGGCAACGGTTATTATATAAGGGCCTCCCAAGTTCAACAATAGTGAGAATGATGAGTGCTTTACCTCTGTAGCAATGACAGCCACAATAGCTGTTTTAATTCTCTCCAGTTTGTTCTTTGAAGGAGAACCTTATGTGTGTGTGTATGTGTGTGTCGGGGCGGGGGGCATTCTTTCCTTGTTTTGTATTGAAGTTTGTATTAGTTTAGGCTAAGCAATGCTATAGCAACAAACAACCCTCCAAATCCCAATGGTTTACAAGAACAAAGATTATCACAAGTCTACCATGCATTGGCTTATGTTCCACTTCCTCTCGCTTTATTATCTGACCTGGGCTAACAAAAATAGCTCCTCTCAGAGATACTGGCAGTGTTGTGGCAAAGGGACACGGTGAACCATGTGCTGGCCCTTAACACTCCTGCTTGAAAGTGAAACACATCACTTCTGCTAATATTTGTTGCCAAATAAATCACATGACCTTGAGCAAGTACAACAGGACGAGGCTATTTAACTCTTGGATAGGCAGATGTACCACAAAAAAAAAAAAAAAAAAAAAAAGGAACAAAAGTATCTGTAATAATAGTACAGTCTCCTAAAGGGTTAAATACTAACCCTCTGTTTTTTTAATTGGGGGTAAGGGGGTAAGGGAATCAGTTGACCTATGCATGTAACTTAAATCCGTTGCCTGTGTTCAACCAAACTTTATGGCTACCCTTCACTTGTTCTATGATTTCTTAATCAAGATTCTCTCTGTAATTCTCTAATACTCTCCACGGTAGCCCCTGCTTCCTGCCCAGGAGACAGGTATATTTAAGCTGCAGCTTTTTAATATTTTCTTAATCAGCGAGCACCCCTCTTTCTCTCTTCCAGAAATTGTTGAAATCTATTATCTGCTTATAATTTCCTTTTCTGTTTTCTTTATTATGATGAGATTATACCTTTTTAAATTCTTTTATTCTGATACTCATGGATTTTCAGGAAAAAAAAGTTAAGCTTTTGTGTTCATTTGGCTGTATTAAAAGGAAGACAAAAACTGAATACATGCAAAAGAATTGCTGAATCACACACACACACACACACACCCCTTATTTTCTTAAAAAAAAAACCTCAAAAGTTAAAAAAAGAAAAGATCAGGAAAAATAGTAGGCAGTTAAAATTTGTGTTTTGTTCTGTTTTTCCAATAACGGGTTTCAATTTTAAACATCGTTATTGACTCACTGCTATTAAAAACAAGACAAATATGTCTTTATCCTCTTTCCTATGCAAACCCCTAATTTTTACTTAATTTATTATTACATCAGGTTGCCAACAGTTATAACAATCATGTTTGATTCTATGATATTGTTCTCCATACTTTAAAACCTTAATTTATGAATTTAAGCAGTCAGAGCTCACCACAACACCTTTTACCATGATTTCTTCACCTATGAATTGTTTATTTTAAGAAATCTTCAGAGGCTGTGGCTATAAGCATATTTTTTTTTTCGAAAAGATGTAGGAAGAAATCCTATAATTTACTGAAATTTTGCCTGCTTGATTTTTTTTTAAAGGAAAACTTGACTTCTTTTAAATTCTTACATCCAGCTTCTGTTTTTGGCTAAGATGAAATAACGAGGACCAGACTTCCTCTTCTGCGTAAAAGCACGAACCAACAAAAAACAGACAAAATACGTGAAACAGTGGTTTTCAAGATATTGGACATCAGACAACAAATGAGATTGAGGCCATTAAACAAATAAAGTAAGCCTTGAGATTGCCCCAGGTAAGTGCTCAGAGAGAGATTTCAGGTCATTGCTTAGACAGGCAGAGTCTTAGCAGAGCCTGGCAGTCTCCTTGAAATGAACAGAAGAAGCTGGGGACACAGTGAACCCAAAGTGGCTACTGCTCACAGGACAGAGTGCAGGGGAGAGAGAGAGAGAGAAAGAGAACAAAGTCGAGAGATCTGCAGATCAGCCAGGTTCATCTCAGTCTTCAGCTGAGTACTTCTGATCAGTAAGTACAGATCAGAAGTGTAAGGAAAAACCCTCCCAAAATGTCAGAGGCAACATACCTGGAGATCTCTCAGGGTTAGGAAGAGTTCCTGTCCTGATCATCCAGCTATAGATGAAATATTGAAAATCTTCATAATTCATTAGGCACTGGGTAGATTTCTCAAAAGCGTTTTGCTCAGTAATAGGGGAAAAATATCCCACACTGTGCTCTGAATCAAGACTAATAAATGTTAAAAATGAGACCCGAAAGGATCAAAAACTATTTTCAAACAACTTAGCCACAATTCAGAACAAAGCTCAAGAATATTTATAGATATGCAAAAATGTACAACACCTGGCAAGGTCAAATTAGAAAGTCTAGAATTCAATAAAAAGTATTGTCACAAAAAGAATCAGGAAAATACAATCCATAATGAAAAGAAAAATTAAGTGATGGAAACCCAACTACAAATGACATAGATGATAGAATTTAAAATAAGTCAACTGAAACCCACCTATATAAAACACAGATGAAATGACTAAGTTTATTAAAAGAGTTATTTAAAAAGTATTCTGTATGTTCAAGAAGATAGAGGAATGATTTAGCATGTTATATAGAGGAAGATAGTTTTAAAAAGAGCCAATTCAACCTTTAAAAAATGAAAACTACATTGTCTAAGATGAAAAATACGCTGGATATGATCAATGGCATATTAGACATTGCAGAAAAAAGATTAGAGAACTTGAAAACAGCAATAGAAATTAGCCAAACTTATGCACAGAGAAAAAAGACTGGAAAAAAAAATGAACAGATACTCAATGACAGGAGACGTCTTTCCTTATTGTTTTAATCTTTTAAAAAGGTAATTGAATGGTTAATACAAAAATAATAACAAGGTATTATGAAGCTTAAAACACATACAGAAGTAAAATTTATGACAACAATAACACAAAGACTAGCAGAGGAGAAATGGAAGTATACTGTTGTAAAGTTTCTGTAATATATGTAACGTGATGTAATATCAGTTGAAAGTAAACTGTAACCACAGGTGACCTCATAGCCCAAGTCTTTCTCACAAAGAAAACTCTAGGCCTAGAGGATTTTACTTATGCTTTGTATCAAAAATTTGAGGAATAAATAATACCAATACTATATCAACTCTTCCTTAAAGTCGAAGTAGATAGCATATTTCCAAATCCATTTTATGAGGCTAATATTACTCTGACACTAAACAAAACATTACAAAAAAAGAAAAAGAAAACCAAAAAATAATATATCCCATGAAAATAGACACAAAAATTCTTAACAAAACTTTAACGAACTGAATCCAACCAGTGGAGTTTAATGTAGCAATCCAAGATTGATTTAACGTTCCAAATTAATATATGTAATTCATCACATTAATAGACAAAAAATAAAAGTCGTATGGCATATCAATTTATACAGGTAAAGCATTACATAAAATCCCTCATCCATTCTGGACACAAATTTCAGCAAAGTAGAACTAGAAGGGAACTTTCTCAATCTGATAAAAAACATCTAGGGAAAACCTATAGCTAACATCAAACTTAAGGGTGAAACACCACATGCTTTTTCTCCAAGATCAGGAATAAGGCCAAGATATCTGCTCTCACCATTTCTATTCAACATTGCTATTGAGATTCTAATCAATGCAAGAAAAACAAATAGGAGGTTTTGCCTTCCATAATCTTATGGAATAGTATAACCCTACAGAGTCTTTAATAAAAACTACTAAAATTAATAGAGAAATTTAGCAAGTTTTTAGTATACAAAATCAATATACCAAACCAACCACATCCCAATATAATATTAACTGTCAAAACCTAAAAATTTTAACACATACCATTTTCCACAACACCAAAAAAACTTAATACTTACAGAAACATCTGAAAAAGATGCACAAAGCCGGGTATGGTGGCTCAGGCCTGTAATCCCAGCACTTTGGGAGGTCAAGGAAGAGGGATTTCTTGTACCCAGGAGTTCAAGACCAGCCTGGGCAACATAGCAAGACCCCATGTCTTAAAAAAAAAAAAAAAAAGTAAAAAGGATACACAACGCCTATACAACGGAAATTGAATTTTGCTGAAGGGAACTAAAGGAGAACTACATAAATTGAAAAATACACTATATTCATGGGCTGGAAGATTTATCTTTACTAAGATATTGATTCTTCCAAAACTGTTCTATAGATTCAATTCAATTCTAATAAAAATCCCAGCAGGCCTTTTAAAAAATAAAAATTGGTAAATTAGTTCTGAAATTTAGATAAAAATGTAAAGGGCCTACAATAACTTTTTCAAAGTAGAATAAAATTATTTAATTTGTGCTACATGATTTCAAACTTACTATAAAGCTACAGAAATCAAGACAATATAATATTGGCATAAGTGTAGACAAATAGATCAATGGAACAGATTTCAGGATCCAGAAATAGACCCAAATATATGGTCAGTTGTTTTTTTGACAAAAGACAATTTAGCAGAGAAAGAACAGGCTTTTCAACAAATGGTGCTGAGACAATGGGACATGCATATGTAAGAAATGAACTTCAATCTATTCCTCACACTAAACACAAAAATGTTCTCAAACTGGAATATAGACCTAAACTGAAAACTTAAACTATAAAACTTCCAGAAGAAAACATAGAATCAAATCTTTGTTACCTTGGTTAGGCAAAGATTTCTTAGATATGACACCAAACACATGAGAAAAATGATATACAAGATTCCATCTTATTTTCATAAAGCTGAAAAGACAAACTACTAACTGGAAAAGAATATTTGCCAGTCACATATCTGATAAAAGACTTGTGTCCAGAATATATTAAAAATACTCAAAACTCAATAATAAGAAAGTGAACAACCCAATTAAAAATTGGGCCAAAGATTTTAAGAGACACTACACCTAGAAATATTTATGAAGGACAAATAAGCATATGAAAGATGCTCAACATAGTCATTAGAGAACTGAAAATTAAAACCACAGTGTGATACGCCTGCACAACTATTAGAATAGCTAACATTAAAAGACTAACTCTGATAAGTGGTGGCAAGGACGTGGATCAACTGGAATTCTTATTTAAAATGGAACAACTATGTTGGAAAACAGTTTGGCAGTTTCTTAAAAAAAATTAAACATACATCTACCATTTAATCAGTCATTCCACTTGTATGTTCTTACTCAAAAGAAATGTAAGCATATATCCATACAAAGATTTATATTCAAATGTTTACAGCAACTTTTTTGGTGACGGCTGGATTTGGCAGCAACACACATGTTCACTAATAGGTGAAAGGATACATTATGGTATATACAAATCATGGGATAATAAAAAGAAATAGACCATTAATATACACAGTAAGTTGGATGAATCTCAATGTGATTGTGCTAAGTGAAAGAAACCAGTCCAAAACTGAGTGCATATTGTATGATGCCACTTATATTCTAGAATTGTAGAAATTACAAACTAATCAATAATGATAGAAAGCAAATCAGTTGTTGCCTTGGGAATGGGGTGGTGAAGAGAGATAGGAGGAAAAGATTACAAATGAACACAGGAAAATTTGGGGAGTGATGGGTATGTTCAAATTTTGATTCATGCAGTGGTTTATGTGTTTATATTATGTCAAAAATTATTATGTTGCACACTTAAAAATTTTTAAAGTCTTATCTTCTTTCCCTCAGAATTTTGACAATCTTTTATCTTATCTTTAATTATTCAGTAGACTTTTATAAAACCATCCCTTATTTTAGGGAGATCTTTTTGCTGAAAGAGGTCTGAGGGTATATTTAGCTCATAATTTCTGTTCTTATAGATAAATTTTCAATATTTCACAATATTTAGTAGATATGATTTATGGTTCTAGAGGGTTTCATGTTCATTTTTCTGTCTTGAGTATGATCTTTTTTTCGACTTTTTTGGGTGCTGTTTTGGTTCTCTATTGATTTAATGAAGTCCAAGAGATAAAGTAAAGTAAAATGATCATACATGCACCACCTTTAAAATTTTGTCCTGGAAGATACATTTGTAAGACATACCTGTGCCTGGAGAAATGATATGATTCATTGGTGTGATTCATACTGGACTCACTGGGTTAGAATTATTATCATAAAATCATAAATTTACTCAGATCTGTCCAACAGCATAACTGGAATACAGTAGAGCAGGTGAGGCAAAGCTACATCCTTTTCTCATGTATTCTAAACTGAAAGAAAAAACAATTAGCACCTAAATATTTTAATATCTGGATCCTTTCTTCCTTCCGTCCTTCCTTCCTTCCATCCTTCCTTCTTTCCTTTTCTTTCCTTCCTTCATGTTTCTTACTTCCTTTCTTTCTTTTCTCCTTCCTTCTTTCTTTCCTCTTCTTTCTTCTTTCTTTTTCCTTTCTTTTTCTTTTTTCTTTCTTTCTTTCTTTTCTCCTTCCTTTCTTCTTTCTTTCCTCTTCTTTCTTCTTTCTTTCCTCTTTCTTTCTTTTCTCCTTCCTTCCTTCTTTCTTTCCTTTCTTTCTTCTTTCTTTTCTCTTTCTTTATTCTTTCTTTATTTCTCTTTCTTTTCCTTCCTTTCTCCCTCCCTCCCCTCTTCCTTTTTCCTTCCTTCCTTCCTTCCTTCCTTCCTTCCTCCCTCCCTACCTCCATCCCTCTCTCCCTCCCTCCCTCCCTTCCTTCCCTCCTTCCTTCCTTCTTTCCTTCCTTCCTTCCTTCCCTACCTCCTTCCCTCCCTCCCTTCCTTCCTTCTTTTTTGCACAGACAAAACACCTGCTTGATTAGCCACAAGCTTATTAAGAATACTAACTGGCCACAAACGATATGAATCAATAATGTTGTGCTTTGTGAGAAAGCTACCGTTATTCTGGGTCCTGTTAAATAACTGTGAGGTGGAAGAAATTAGAATCAATACTTCTAGCAACATCTGTCAGACCTTTACTAAAATATTTGGTTCCATTTGAAAATATTTACTATGTACCTTTTACCCATTCCAAGCTCTCAACTGGGCACAGATGATATAATGGGTGAAAATTGTATGCTCCCACCCTCACACTTTGATGTGCTAAATTCTTCTCTGTTACCTGTCCTATGTGAATTCCAGTGACTGGAAACACATTCTTTAAAGTTCCCAAGATCCCCATTTCTCTGTTTCAGAGAGTACTATCCAAACCAGTAGATGGAGATCCATATGATGCCTCAAGGAGTTCTGGGAGTTATACATATGGTGTTTTCCCGTGCCCCAGAGCTAGCACCTGATTCCAGGAGGGAGGCCTAACAAGCAAATCTCTCCTGATGGCTACTGTAATACTTCTTCCCAGGACTGTGAGAGCTGCCAAGATGACAATGACTCATATTGTCCCTGCGACCCTGCTTACCTCAGATACAAGCCTCGAAAAAGGAACAGTGTTAGTGAAGTGGAATGTTCTGAGCCCTGGGTACAAGAGAGTAAAATGGGACTTAGCCAGCCAATTAGATGCTAGAAATGGAGGTACTATTTCTATCCCATGGAAAGAAGGTGGGCATTATATTAAGGTAAGTGAGGAGCCACTTAAGAGATTTAAATGGGGACGTTACTTGATCAGATTAGCGTCACTCTACTTCAAAAAAATAACCAAGACAAGATCTAAGCCAGCAGAGCAAAGAGAAACAGAATGACCAAAGGAAAAAAGTCTCAAAAGAAAGACTAAAGGGACAACTTAAATTTTGTCTTCCCACAGATGAAGATTTGCAGAAGGAGGACGTGGAATTTCTCTATGGCTATCTAAGAGAAAATGAACTTGATTCATATTAGAAGAAAATGTTTCTGAACATTACAAAGTCATTCATTCCTACAAGGGGGAAATACAGGAGTGATTCACCCTTGGTGTTGCTGGTCTCTATCTCTGGATACTTATGAGAAAACATCACCTCCAGTGGCCTCTACATTCACTTGACCCAAAGGATGATCACAAATTGGAGACTCTTAGAAATTGACGAGGGCACTTTCAATTTCAAGGGACAGAGATGCACCTCAAACTAGTTTAAATAAGGGGAGATTTATTGGTTTACATAATTTAAAAGTCGAGAAATAGATTTAGCTTTAGGCATGGCTGGATTCAGAGACTCAAAATATGACATCTGGAATTGATTCCTCTTCATCTCCTTCCGCTGCTCTCTTTTTGTTGATTAAATTGCTCCAAGCAGCAGTCCCAAACTTACACCTTACTTCTTTAGCTAACTCAGTGAAATGATAATGCCTCTTTCCCAAGAGTACCAGCAAAATCTTGCAATGGACTCAGATTGTCTTGGTTTCAGTCAAGGGCTCACTTGTGAAATCATCACTGAGTTTGATTACCCAACTGGTTGTTTGAATAGTCCAGTTGGTCATTCTTGAGTCATACGTTCGGCCTTGGAACTGAGAGGATTGGGTCAACCTCACCTAAATTAAGGGTCTGAGTATGATGAAGTGGTGGTGACGGGTAATTCTCAAAAGTATCTTGGGGTGTTTACAAGAAAAAAGGAAGGTATGCTGGACAGGCAGAATAAACAATCAACAACAAAACAAAACACCTTCTCCCGCCCACACAAACAGATGTCTACTCTACGTTAAAAGTCTCTTTAAAGTCTGTATTTACAGTTTGATATCTTAGAAAGGTGAACCTAGCCAAGAACATTCCTAGATACACTAAATTTTACTCTGTAATCATTTATACCATTGCTGTCATACTCCAAAAACTTGTTTTAAACTTCCATACTGCACACTTTACAGGGAAATGCCACGGCATAAAGAAACTCACTTCTTGGCTGTAGGTCACCCAACAAAGTGTTTTCCTGTATATGCTCTGGACTGTGAATATCTCCTGGCAAGAAAATAATGGAGCTAACTGCCTTCATCATAAGTGAGAAGAGCCATGTGTAGCTTATGTCTGAAATAAAAAAGCCAGTGTACAACTTTCAAACAACAGATTGTCCCCAGCATTGGTGAGCCATGGGCAGTAACAAATGAAGCCTTCTCGGGCTTTCTCCTGGTCCTGAGCTGTGATCTGAACCGAGCAGAGCTGCAGCTGAGAGTTGCGGAGGCAGCATGCCCAGTTAATCCTTAGTGCTTGTGCCAAGACTGTCAACAAAGGGTCCCATTGTCATGGCACAGTGCGACTAGGGGTACTAGTATGCTAGGGAACTGGATGAAGACCACCAACTCATTGACTGAAATGCTTTCTCCCACACCCGCTCCAAAACGGAAATCAATGTCTGGCACTTAGCATTCATGAGCAGTCCAGCAATACCAATCTCAGAGTGCACATGCTTGTAAGGAAAAAGAAATGGATAAGCTAGGCAGACTTTACTTCCAAACCTCAGAGGGGTTGCAAACATCATTGTGAAAAATTGATTTGGCAAAATTATGGCTGGTCCTGACTGCTATTTTAATTGCATGCTGAGTTTGGCGATGATGGGTCTGATTTTTTTTTTTCTTCATGCATTAAAAAAAAAAATAAAAGAAGTAGAAAGAAAAAGGATGAGAATCAAGAGTCCCTGAAATTTTCTTTTGAATTTTCAGCCTCAGCACTACCATGCTGGCTCTTTATCTTTATTCTTCGCTAAATGATTTCACTTTCAGTGTTGGAGGTTATTCTCTTGAACCATTTCAGACAGTTTTCTGTTATTACTTTAATTCTCGGTAAGCTGTTGGCAATTGCTACCAAATTGCTTCATGGATCAATTCTTCCTCCATAGCCCATTAAATTTTGCTTTTTTCTCCTGAGTAAGAAGTCACAAACACATTTGGTTACACCTGGCCAGTGAGCCATAAGCCCTTTACTCCTCTTTAGAACTTACTGCAATAGACTCACATTAGGATTTCTGAATGCCTCATGTTTATGGTCTATTGGGATTCACTGTTGTTATTTGCTTGAATATGTAACCAGGAATGGGAGTAAGTATACAGGGTGTCCTTATATTTGTTAAATCCCAATAGTCATGTGGTAGATTACAAAAAAATGCCTACATCTTAGAACTCTTTCTTTATGGCAGACGTGCAATGTGACTTTGCAGGTCCACTTGACAAGAAATTAGTCTCTTCTCCTACCCCTTAAATGTTGGTTGACACTGTGAGTTGCTTTGACCAATAGCATGTGGCAGGAGTTATGATATGCCAGTCTCAAGCCTGGATTTCAAGAAACCATTTTGCACACCACAACTCACTCTCCTAGAATCCCTGTTTTCTCCAAGTGAGCAAGCCCAGCCTAGCATGCTGGAAGATGAGAAGCCACTTGGCTGAGAGCCATGGTGCCCTGGTCAACAATAAATCCAGCTGACCTGGCAGCTGACTCCAGACCCAGCTAAGCCCAGCTCAAATTACTGACCCCTAGAGCTAAGTAAATGGTTGTTTTAAGCCATTAAATTTTGAGATGATTTGTTATACTACAAATATTAATTGATAGGATCCTTACCTTATTGTTTCTGGTGATTCTTGCCATTACTACTTTGTAAGTATCACCTTCTAGCTTCCATACTAAACTGAGAAATCCTTGCTGTATACCTAGTTGGAAAATTAATGAAAATAAGGTCCTATTACTATAACATTTATGTCTACAATGGTGTCCTCTGTTTTAACTCCTCTGTTAAAAGACTGTGAACAGCTAGCTCCCTGTTGCTTTCTGAATAATGTTCAAATGTATTGACTCAACATTTAAGGCCCTCCACAGTTTGATGCTAGCCTGGCCATTCAGTCTTGTATCTATCTCCCTCCATTTGAAAACGTTTTTTCCAGACTATATGGACTACCTTACTTTCCCCAAATCACAATGCATCCCTACCTCCTCGACTTTGCTCCTACTGTTTCCTCTGCCTGGAATGACCTTCCCCTCATTACTGCATGAACAATCAAAGTCCATTTCAAATACTACCTCCTTCTTGATGCTTTTCCAAAACATTCTAATCAGATGGGATGATTTCTTCCTCTCTTGGGATGCTGAAAGGCCCTGGTGACTAACACTCAGGGGTCACCAGAGGCATATCCCTCTTGGATTCTCAGTGCTTTGTTCCCTGTGGTGTTCTGGTATAGGACATCACCTCGCCCATCCTTGTCAGAGAACTTTCGAGTGCTAAGCATGGGTCAGACTCTTTGCTGGGCACTTTATACACATTAGCTCATTTAGTCCTCTTCATTACCCTATTGGGTAAGTGTTATTAGTTTCAGTGTATAGGTGATAAAAAATGAAGCTCGAAAACCTAAATAATTGATCGAAGTTTCCACAAATCCCACAAATCCGGACAGCAGATGTGATATTGAATGTGGTCTTTTGCTCAGCCACTCAGATCTCCCTCACAGCCCCCTGTGTGAGGACACACAGAAGTTGGCAACTCAGTGGCTTGGAGAAAATATTGTCAGAGCTCTAACTTCGTATATTGTCTCACAGGGGAGTCAACTGAAGGGACGATATTTGCCTGATGGAAAGAGCCTACCCTGGAGTAGTTGGTCAGCCACACTGGGGCTAGGCAGGGACTTACTTCTTCAATTTCCAGTGCTTCATCAAGAATGTTCTGGGAGGGCGTAGTAGCTGATGGCTGTCATCCTAGCACTTTGGGAGGCCAAAGCAGGATGATCACTTGAGACAGGAGTTTGTGACCAGCCTGGGCAACATAGGAAGACCCTGTCTCTACAAAAAAGAAAAAAAAAAATTTAATTAGCCGAGCATGGTGGCATATGCTTGTAGTCTCAATCCTCGGGAGACTGAGGCAGGAAGATTGCTTGAGCCCAGGAGGTCGAGACTATGAGTGAGCTATAATCGTGCCACTGAACTTCAGCCTGGGCAACACAGTGAGACTCTGTCTCAAAAAAAAAAAAAAGGGTGTTCTGAAACATTTTACGAGTTATTAATATCAGACAGTGGCTCACCACTAAGATAGTTAATAAGCTACCCACTGATTTGCTCTAATTATCTGGGAACTAATAACTGTCTACTCTTCTAGTCATAATGAATTTCTTTCCTTAGTCAAGCTTGTCCATAAGATTGACTATGGGACATCCAAGAGGTTGGCCCTAATTGATCCTATTTCAACATGGCCACTGCTGTTGGGCCCAGGTGCTACAGAGCAGATCAGCAGCAGAGACCATGAAGTGAGAGGGGAAAAGCTTGACTTTGCTACTCAGGAGGTATAGCCAAGCCTCTCTACTTGGCCAGAATATAATCATGGCTTAGTTCATTTTTACTTTAAGCCATAGATTATTTTCTCACCAGGAAAATGGAAATATTTCCCTGTATTTGTGAGTGATTTGCTTCTTAAAATGGTAAAAAAAAAAAAAAAAAATGAACTTAATAGGCATCATGTTTTAGTGATATTGAAAGATATCCTTGAGAACAGAAGGGTGTGGATGCTAGTTTTGAATGGTGGGAACAGC